AGGCGGGGGGCGGCGGGCGTCCTAAACGCTCTTTGGCTTAATCGTTCGGATAAATCAGTTGTGCGACCATGAAAGGAAAAACTTTATACACTTCCCTTTTAGCGTAGCACGTTGGGAATCGTGTCGTTAATGAATTCACAATCTGATTACAGTGTGTTTCTACTAAATGACGTGGTGGGTTTTTTCCCCACGTTTCCTTGAGTTAGGGTAGCATAAGAAACTGTTGGGGTGGCGTTTCTTTATAAACAGAAGTTGAATGGGAAATCTTAAGATGACAGAGATGCTTTGGTTTTACAAAAATACTGGTGCTTATGGGTGTGATGGGATGGATTTATGCTGACTAAATGTAAAGAGGCGGTTTCTTTCCAGTATCCCATAGGCAACTTTTTTTAATTTTGTGCATGCAAGGCACTGTCTTTGACTTCCTTCTGAATCTTAGCTTAGTATTTTTGTGCTAAACTGAAGTAAAGTAACTCGGAAAGTCTAACCGAATCCACTTGTGTATCTTCATTTATAACTTTCAGCCAGAGGTCAACTTATTACTGTATTTGTGCTTTGAATGTGATGCTTTTTGGCTGGGGCCTGTGTTCAGCACTGCAATTCAAACAGTAGCCACTTCTTGCAATTACTGAGGTGCAGTCCTTCAAAGTTACTGTTTATTTGATGAGGTTTCAGTTTACTGCTAAAAACTTCAATTCACTCTTTTTGAATTATTTGTTTGTTCTCCTGAAATTGTAAGTTTTTCTGAAACACTACTTAATATTTCCTTGATGCTGTTTAAGCGAAATGCTGTTTTCATAAATGAAGCTATGTTATTAAAAAAAGAGAATTCTTAATTGCTCTGTCACTTGGAGCTGTCATAAACTTCACATAAAGACAAAATGTCCTCTAGAGGGAAATCTTGATGCTTTTATGCACTAAAATGTTAGTCACCTTGTTCCAGCTAAAAGTCTGATCGCTAACCTTGGAAAGAATCTGTGATGATGAATATGTATGTCTTAAGGAACCTGTTTTCTGGATTTGTGCTTGGAAATTTCATTACAGAATACAGACTATAGCCTGCAACTTCTGTAGGTTAAATGAAACATGCTTGTTTTAATTCAAATAGGTCTAATTCTGCAGTTAAATGAGTAATCTTTACAAGTTCCAGTGTGCTACTCCTGCAGTAGTATCTGTAGGACCTACATTTGTGGCAACAATTCTGAAAATGCTTATGTAGATACTGACTTTCATACAGCATTCTCATTTTAATCAAGATGCTTTTGAGGGCAGGGTCTTCACTGACCTAAAGCAAGAATTTCAGCAGCTGATCTGAAAATGTTGTGGGTTAAATCACTTCAGGATGATGAGTGCAAACAGCTGGGCAAGGAAACGAAGCAGAAAGTAAATGTCCCATTTAATCAGTCTTGGCAACTGAAGGATAGCAGTACATTTGACTACAAACAGCAGAGGTTGAAAGATTAGTTTTGCAGGCACATCAGTTGTTTGAATGTAGTTAACACTGTATGCCACATGCTCAGTCCAAATTTTTTGAAAAAGCTTGGTGGGATTGTTAGGGTGGTGAGTTACTCAGCATGTTGCATACAGAGTCTCAGCATGTGTCACAGACGCTTTGAAAAAGTTTATTTCACAGTTAAAAAAAAAAAAAAAAACTTTGAAAAAGTTTATTCCACAGTTAAAAAAAAAATAAAAATCTATGCTTTTATTTTTCTGTAAGTAAATGCAAATAGCGAGTTTGGTGTAGCTTCTGGCATAAGCCTATTTTGTAAAACTAAAGGCTGTGTGGGACTTACTCTGTGGATATTGATGGAAAATTTCCTCATACTGCAAGACTGCTGAATGGGTCAAAAATATATTTACGTTTTTAGTTGCTAGTTGAATCCTTTCATACTTCTTTCAAGTCACCTGTACTGTTAAGAAATAACAATATGTTAAACTGACTCCAAAATAGTTGTAGTACTTACATTCTTATAAATGTATGTACCAAAACACTGCGTAATTAACTAGCCTGTTTTGTGTGTGTGTAAGTACTACTGCAGGTAAGATTAAAGTGATTTGCAGTACTTACGTTGCAAGTCTGTTTTCCTTTTCATTGTTTTGTGTTATGCAAATGCATCTCTGCAGTGTGTTAAAAATGTATGCAAAGTGCTTGGAGGCAAATGGTGTTGCATAATTGAATGTACAGATGTGTTACAATAGAAGAATAAATTCCATTAATAAACAAGACTAAAAGTTATGATTTTTTAAAAAATAAAAGCATATTTATATCCTTAAGTTACTCAAATTGTAGACTCTCTAATAAAATGTGCTCTGAATAATCAATTCTTCATTCTAGATCATCATTTTGGAGGATTCCAGCACTGAGATTTCTGGAGTCTGCTGTGTCTAGCCATAATGAGTTCATCACTAGTTGCTTATGATGATTCAGACTCTGAGGCAGAAGCGGAAAAGACTGAAGTCCCCAATACTTCTGGCAGACAAACAAGCCTTCCAAGTTCTTCCATGACTCGTGTTCAGTACTTTGCACCTGGTAGTTTGGGTACAAAGTCTACATATGAAATGCAGCCTACAGAGAATGCTGACAGTTCTGGCACAAGCCCTGCATGTGACGATCACCCTGAGCATTATGCACAGAATAGTAATGTTGCTTTGACATCTCCTTATTGTAGGAGAGCATCCTCTGGCCATACTGCATTATGTATGTCCTACAAAAACTATGAACAGACATCAAGCTCTTCAACAAACTCTGGAAATAGTCTTTCCCAGAAGAGAATACGTAAAGACAGTACTACTGCCATAAAAGGAATTAGACCATATATCCCTAAAAGGTTGCGTCAAGAAAATTCCAGTAGGCCTGAGGAAACGGAGTCTGATCAGAGGGGGAGCTTGGATTGTGATGTTAAGCTGGGCATGTCAAGAGAGCAGGCTTCAAGAAAGATCTCTGAATTAATAAAGCCATATTTGGGATCCAAATATAAAGTAACTGAAGTCCCTAAAAGCTTAATATTTTACTTGGCTAATCACAGCGGCCCTGTTAATGAAATCCAGTGGTGTCCTGTACGAGAACAAAGTCACATGCTTCTCTCGGCTTCTATGGATAAAACAATCAAGGTAATGTAGAATGCTTTGTGGACCAGTCATCAAAAATACTGTCTTGAATAATGATCTTCTGGGAATAACATCCTTGCTTGTGTGTATTTAACAGGAAGATTTATTTAGCATTTGAGGAGATGCTTTGCAGTACAAGACCCTATTATGAACTTGCAGCTTAATTCTTCCCTGTACCTACAATCAGTTCTGTTATTTTAGAACGTGGGATTTTCTTTGTATGAGTATGTGTTTTAGATCTTAAGAAGTTAGATTTCTGCTAGGTCATTTCTCATAATCTGTATTAATGATAAGTTTTCATTATTTCCTGCTTTTTAATGTCACAACAGCTACAGGCACTACGGTCTGGATACAGATTCTGCCATAAGTCGTTAAACAACTGACTGCCAGTGCCAGAATAATATTTTGGGGAACTTTACCTTTCTGAGTCCTAAGTGGCTACTGCCGGAGGAGGTACATCAGTTTGGGTGGAACTAGTACGGCAGGCCTTGCATCCCAGAAAGGTGTCCTGTCATGATCTAAGGAGTCTTTCCACTTCAAGTTTGTTTCAAGCATGAATTACTCATGTATTTTCCTTCTAGCTTTAGTGAATTAGGCTTCAGTTCTTGTTTGGTTAATTTAGTCATAGAACCATAGAATGGTTTGGGTTGGAAGGGACCTTAAAAGATCCTCTAGTTCCAACCCCCCTGCCATGGTCAGGGACACATTCCACTAGACCAGGTTGCTCAAAGCCTCATCCAGCCTGGCCTTGAACACTTCCAGGGATGGGGCATCCACAGCTTCTGTGGGCAACCTGTTCCAGTGCCTCACCACCCTCTCCAGTCAGTCTGATGAGCTTTAACAATGGGTAATAAAAATATTTTTATGTGTATGCTTTCCCAGATACAGGGCTAATGCCACCTCTTTGTTCAAATAATAGTCTGCTGGAGTGGGTTTACACAGGAATGTGGTTTTGAAAAGAGCACACAGAAAGTGTCCTTTTCAGAGGGAGACATGCTTTATTGTATTTACCATAGCAGTACAATTATTTTAAAACTTGGTTCTAAAATTTAGGGCTTTGAGTAAATCTCACTAATTAAAGAGGCAAGAACACCCATTGTATTGGCATACTTCTAAAAACAAAGGGGAGGAGAGTACTTTAAAATGGAATTTGAATTCTGATTTCATGTAAGAAAAATATTATTAAAGTCTCTTGTTAAAACTGAGATTTATTTATTTTAAATCTTTTGCTGTTTAATTTATAGTGGAGAATTGAGTTTCATTTCTTTTGGCTTTAGTATGATTTTCCTTATCTTGGAATTTTTTTTTTCTTTCCTTTCCTCTTTATTGGTTTTGCCATGGGCCCCGTGAAATATGTGCTGACTTTGCATCTTTGAAACAGTGATGTTCTTGAATCTTTTAAGTTTTTGCTTTTTTCTCCTTAATGTCTATTAAAGCAGTGGTGCTCAGAAGAGAAAACCCCAGATTTCTTTAGCTTCAGTAAAATTTACTTCTCTTAAGTTGTAGTAACTGGTTCTGTAGTCAGCAAAACACATCACACCATCCAAGTCTGAATACTTTGAACTATGGTAATTCCTCCTTCATCTACTTTTGAAAGTGTATTAGATCTTGCCTGCTACTTGAAGAGCAGACTAAGATATGCAGAAGGTACTGATGGATGTTTTTGGCAAGCAGCAATTTAAATTTGTGTTGTAGAAACTGTATGCGCGTCTGACTTTACTATGTCTGGATTTGACTTTTTGTCTTAAACTGTTTAATGTTTGCTTGCTATGCCAGAGCTGCCTTTTACTGGTGAGTGAGATTGTGGACATGTTAAATTTGGTAAAACAGTCTAAAATTAAAGTGGTTATTTCAATGTAAAATTATTAAAAAATGTAAATAATAGCTTGTTTTGTCTTCTAAGCAGAAAGATGATTTTCTAAAGCTGTGTTACCACCCCATTGGAAGCAGTCGTTAACAGTAAAGCTGTTTTTTTGAGAAATCTAATTGCTTCAGGTGCCCCAAACCATGGCAATTCAATATAAATAGAGTACATTAATGCTGGCAACGCTTCAGAGCACGCGAGTCTAAAACATGAATAAAGTAGCAATGCGACCGTTGCGAAGGCGGTGAAGAGACACTTCCGGGTTTGGGACGGTGGCCTGTAGGGCAAGGCCCGCGGGCGCTGCTTCCGGTTGGTCGGCCGTGGCGCTGATGCCCGCCCCGCTCGGGCCGGCAGAGGGCGCGGTGGGATTACCGATTGCCCGGTGGCCCGGGT